TCTGTGGGGCGACAGGGACTTCACTCTGGCATCCTCTGAGGTCGACGAGGAGTCGACGGTCGCAGCCGCCGTCATGGTCTGCGATCGCGCGGAGTTCTCTATGGCGACGGCACTGCTGCAGCTTTGGCAACAGCCCATGACGGACCAGTTGCGCGAGCAGCACCTGCGACTGTGGACATCCGCGCTAGCCATGATCGGTACATTCTTCGAGAACGGGTGGGTGCTCTGGGATGCGCAACCTGAAAACTACGTCGTGGACGAGGCAGGCTACGAGCGGATGCGGTTCTTGAGGGTCGCGACCATCCAGGAGAAAAGCTGTGATCCCAATCACGCTGAAGGCCAGCTGCTGTACAAGATCATGAAGCGCTTTTGCGGGGCAACAGTCGATTTGCTGACAAGGGGAGGCAGTCATCCAACGTGGCAGACATGGCTGCAGCCGCTTTTCGAGAACATGTGTCACCGGTACTTGGGCCAACATGCTGAAAATTTTTGGGGTCAACAACTGTATTGGTCGAGGACAGGCGTTTGCTGGACATTAAATCCTTAATAAGCCGGAAGTCTGAACCCTGAACCATACGTGGCGTGTGGGTGTGTCCGTGTGTTACACTCGCAATAATTTGCAGGATCGACGAAGCGTGCATGCGTGCACTTGCAGAGCACATGTTCAGGCTTCTCGGCAGAAAGAGTTGGCTGCCGCGCAGATGTAGGATGCCCTTTTCTACTGCACGGACGCTGTCTTGCAAAAGTGCGGGCTGAGGTAGCGCCGCTGACACGCAGATGTAGCATGGCCGCGGAACCGCGTGGACGCTGTCTTGCGAAAGCGCGGGGCTGCGGTCACCTCATCATGGCCCAGGCGGTGAGTTGTGACAGGCTTGGCGGCGCTTCTGTCAAAATCCTGCCAGAGCCGGTTCGAGCTTTAGATGGTGAGTTGGAGGGCCGCCTTCGAGCAAAACCTTGCACTTGTCATTGCTGCTAGTGCTTAGGCTGCTTCGATTCGCAGCGCGAGAACTACCGGTCTTGTCCTCAGTAAGACGATCGCTTTGATGAGGGTTGCATTCGATGCGTTTTCAATTTCGCTGCATGCGGTCCTTTGCATGCTTTTTTTTTTGTGCGTGCCGCGTAGCTCGGGCTCGATTCCTGTGGTCGCGCTGGCCTTCGCGGTGACCCCCAGTGGACGCTGTCTTGCAAAAGCTGGGTGTGCCGCTGGGCTATGGCAGGCAGGTCCTTGCCTCCGGATGCTTATTTGGTCGAAGCGGATCTGCGAGCACGGGAATCGACCAGGAAAAACCCATTGCTCAGATGGCAGACAGGCACAGCCAAGCTTGTCTTCCGGGTGCCCGGGAGCTCTGCTACCATCGCCATCGAGGAAAGGATGGACCGTCTTGGTTGCGGGGCTTTCAAGGTGGCTTTCAGCTTGGAGAACTGGAGGTTGGCGGTGAAGATGGTGCCCAATGCCGGCATGAACAAACAAGGCTGGATGACGACAAACGATCCGCTGTGGGAGCTGAGGCAGTACTTGAGGGCGTCCCAAAATGAGGCAGTGCGTCCGTACATGCCCCGGTGCTACGGAGGCCTGCACCTGTGGGGCGACCTCGACGACGCTTTGGTAGGGACTGAGGTCGACGCTTTGGCAGGGACTGAGGTGGACGAGGGGCCGATGGTCGCCGCCGCCGTCCTGGTCTGCGATCGCGTTGAGATCTCTATGACGACGGCACTGTTGCAGCTGTGGCAACAGCCCATGACGGAGCAGTTGCGCGAGCAGCACCTGCGACTGTGGACATCCGCGCTCGCCATGATCGGCACATTCTTCGAGAACGGGTGGGTGCTCTGGGATGCGCAACCTGAAAACTACGGCGTGGACGAGGGAGACTACGATGGGATGCGGTTCTTGGACGCCGGGGCCATGGAGAGGAGAAGCCTTAGTCCCAATCACCTTGAAGGCCAGCTGCTGTACAAGATCATGAAGAATTTTTGCAGGGCAACAGTCCAGTTGCTGACAAGGGGAGGCAGTCATCCAACGTGGCAGACATGGCTGCAGCCGCTTTTCCAAACCATGTGTCAACAGTACTTCGGTCCAGAAGCTGCACCTGTTTGGGGTGATCAACTGTTTTGGTCGAGGACGGGTGCTTGCTGGACATTAAATCCTTAATAAGCCGGAAGTCTGAAGCCTAAACCATACGTGGCGTGTGGGTGTGTCACTGTGTGTTGCACTCGCACGTTGCAGGAGGATCGACGAAGCGTGCATGCGTGCACTTGCAGGGCACGTGTTCAGGCTTCTCGGCAGAAAGAGCTGGCTGCCGCGCAGATGTAGGATGCACTTTTCTGCTGCACGGACGCTGTCTTGCAAAAGTGCGGGCTGAGGTAGCGCCGCTGACACGCAGATGTAGCATGGCCGCGGAACCGTGTGGACGCTGTCTTGCGAAAGCGCGGGGCTGCGGCCAACTCATCATGGCCCAGGCGGCTAGTTGTGACGGGCTTGGCGGCGCTTCTGTCAAAATCCCGCCAGAGCCGGTTCGAGCTTTAGATGGTGACTTGGAGGGCCGCTTCGAGCAAAGCCTTGCACTTGTCATTGCTGCTGCTGCTGCTGCTGCTGCTTAGGCTGTTTCGACTCGCACCACGAGAACTACCGGTCTTGTCCTCAGCAAGACGATCGCTCTGATGAGAGTTGCATTCCATGCGCTTTCAATTTGACTGCATGCATTCCTTTGTATGCTTTTTCGATTTGTGCGTGCCGCGTAGCTCGGGCTCGATTCCTGTGGTCGCGCTGGCCTTCGCGGTGACCCCCAGTGGACGCTGTCTTGCAAAAGCTGGGTGTGCCGCTGGGCTGCTGCGTAGCTCGGGCTCGATTTCTGTGGTGGCGCTAGTCTTCGCGGTGCCGCCGGGTTGACGCTGTCTTGCGAAAGCTCGGTGTGCCGCTGGGCTATGGCGGCCCGCTCCTTGCCCTCGAATGCCAATTTGTTCGCTGCAGAGCTGCAAGCAGACATGGACGGGTACAACAAGAAAAACCCAATGATCAGATGGCGGAAAGGCAGAGCCAAGCTCGAGTTCCGCGTGCCCGGCGGCGGTGCCATCTTCATCGAGGACACGCTCTACCGTTTGGGTACCGGAGCTTACAAGGTGGTCTACGGCTTGGAGACCTGGAAGTTGGCGGTGAAGATCGTGCCCAATGCGGGCATGAACAAAAATGACTGGATGGGGAAAAACGATCCGCTGCAAGAGCTGAAAATGTACAGGAGTGCGTACGAGAGGAGTGGCAAAGTACGACCGTGCATGCCCCGTTACTACGGAGGCGTGCACCTGTGGGGCGACCGTGACTGGCGTATGGCAGGGAGTGAAGACGATCCCAGGGCCAGGGACTCGAAGGTCGCAGGCGCCATCATGGTCTGCGATCGCGTTGGGCTTTCTATGGAGACGGCACTGTTGCAGCTTTGGCAGCTGCCCATGACGGAGCGGTTGCTTGAGGAGCACCTGAAACTGTGGACATCCGCGCTCGTCATGTTCGGCACATTCTTCGAGAACGGGTGGACCCTCTGGGATGCCAAACCTGACAACTACGGCATGGACGAGGGAAACTACGAGCGGTTGCAGTTCTTGGACGTCGCGGCCCTAGAGAACAGAAGTGAACAAACGACCCGCGAAGATGGCCAGCTGCTGTACAAGATCATGCAGCGCTTTTGCAAGGCAACAGTCGACCTGCTGGGAAAGGGAGGCACCCATGAAACGTGGCGGCAATGGCTGGTGCCGCTTTTCGAGAACATGTGTCGCCTGTACTTGGGCCAACATGCTGAAAATTTTTGGGGTCAACAACTGTATTGGGCGAGGACAGGTTCTCTCTGGACATGAAACTCATAAATGTGTCTGCGTGTGTGTGTGTGTCACTGTGTGTTGCACTCGCAGTTTGCAGGATCGACGAAAAGATAATGCGTGCATTTGCAGAGCACATGTTCAGGCTTCTCGGCAGAAAGAGCTGGCTGCTCGTGCTCGTTGCTTTGCGGTTGATCGTATGTCCTGATCGCGAGGATTTCGACGTCTCCCGCATCTTCGTTTGCCGACAGGTGTTCTGGGGATTGTGGCTGGAAACAGGAGCTAGTGCACAAGACCTCACGGCCAGGAGCCAGCCGACGGGGGAGTCCGAGCCTGCGAAGAAGTCCGGGCCTCAAGTCACGACGGTGGCGGTCGGCGGCTCTCTTGTTGGATTCCGAGCTTAGGCCAAGCAAAAGAAATCTGACGGCCAGGAACGAGCCGTGCAAGGAGTCGGAGCCTGCCAAGAAGTCCGGACCTCAAGTCGAGACGATGGCGGCCAGTCCTTGGTTCCTGCCAGCAACCCAGCAGAGGACCCTGCACGGATCCTCGTGCTTGCTTTTCATGTGTGTGCAACGAAAGAAATCCGACGGCCAGGAACGAGCCGTCGAAGGAGTCGGAGCCTGCCGAGAAGTCCGGACCTCAGGTCACGACGATGGCGGCCGGTGGTTGGCTCCCGCCAGCAACTGTGCAGACGACCCTGCATGCATCCTCGTGCTTGCTTTTCACGTGTGTGCAACGGCGTTCCCGCCCGCGACCCAAGGTGCGTGAAGGCCAGGAACGAGCCGTGGAAAGAGTCGCCGCGGGAAGAGTCGGAGCCTGCCAAGAAGTCCGGACCTCAGGCCACGACGATGGCGGCCAGTGGTTGGCTCCTGCCAGCAACTGTGCAGAGGACCCTGCATGCGTCCTCGTGCTTGCTTTTCACGGGCGTGCAACGGGGCTCCTGCCCGCGACCCAAGGTGCGTGAAGGCCAGGAAGGAGACGTGGAAAGAGTCGCCGCGGGAAGAGTCGGAGCCTGCCGAGAAGTCCGGTTCTCGAGTCACGAGGCGGGCCTCGGGTCGTGGCACTGGCGCTGTCTCGTCGACGGCTAACATATCCGACGGTCAGGAATGAACCGCCTACTGAAGAGTCGGAGTGTGCCAAGATGTCCGGACCTCGGCAACTCAAAGGTGCGGTGTCTTGCTGGCCGCTGAGCTCAGGCAACGCATGGATGCATCGCGAGAATTAAGCTCATGGGGACCCACCGTGTGCGTGGGGTTGCTTGGTCGCAGTGCACTGGTGATGTTCCAGATGCTGCCCAAGGAAGAAGGCGATACTGCGATAGAGCTCTTGTGCACCGTGAAGGAGAAGGACGTCGAGGTGATTGAATCGGTTCAACACGTGCAAGCGCACGTTTTGGCGGCGACACCACGGGATGTCTCTCACATGCTTAAGGAGGGCGAGCGCAAGCACGGGCTTCTTCGGGTTGAGCTTGTCTGCAGTACCGCATGGACGCCCACCGACAAATATGCGGAGCGTCACAGAGTGCGTCGGTGCATGCATGTCAACGCTTCCCTCGCGCGGGTCTACTGGGATCAAATGAATCGGGACAGCTGGCCCAAGTCTTTGCAGGACTGGCACGAGATTGTGGTTGGCAAGACTCAAAAGCGTGCAGAGGCACCTAAGTTGACGTTGGAAACCCTGGAGAAGGCGATGAAGGACGTGACCGTCGTCGCTGACCAGAGGGGCTTTTACAACAAGCCTATCCATGATCTAGACACACATGGACGGGTCAATCGAAAGACGACTAAACTGGACGAAAACCCCCTCACGCGAGAAGAGCGCGAAGCCGAAGGGATCACTTATGGCGACCAGCAACCGAACAAGAGGATGCGAGACATTCCCAGCTACCGGCACAAGCCATTGACGGTCGCTTTGCTAAGTATGAAAGTGTTCGAAGCTGTACATTACTTTGTTCGTTTTGTTTTCCTCGCTCGTGTGTCTTCTGCATTGGTTTGATCCGCGGAAGGCATTGCTGCGGAACCTGCACCAACTTCTGCCGCTGGAGCGCTGCAACGAAACAGGGCAGCGACCGGCCGGATGCAGGGAGCGGCATGCTCCAACGAAGCCGCGAAAGCAATCCAGCAAAACCGATGGAGGCATGTTCAAGTTTGCCCAGCATGGCATGGTTCTCCAGCTGGAGGACTTCATCGAGGAGAAGTGCTTTGTACAGCCGACAGCTGCTGCAGAGGAGCAGGACTTTGGCTTTGTGCCGGCCGAGCTGCACAATGTGGCCAGGGGCCTTGTTGCTTTCCTGAGGGTCAGAGCGTGCTCTTACGATAACATCTCGCCTCAGAAGAAGACGGAGCATTGGAGCCATTGCTTGGAGTGGTGGGGTTTTTGGATGTCGGACGAGGAAATCCAAGCCGTGGCTGCACAAGCGACGTCCCTTGCATTTACGCACATGCGCTATCTGAGTGCCTACGTGCGTTTGCATCGAGCAACGTTTGCGCAGGAAAGTGTTGCCGCTGCCTCGCAGATGTAGGCTGGCCGCGGAACCGCATGGACGCTGTCTTGCGAAAGTGCGGGGCTTCGGCCACCACGTGGCTTAGACAGCGGCTTGGACGAGGCAGTACTTGGATGTGGCGGCCGTGGAGGAACGCTCGCTGAGCTTCGCGTAGGATGGCCGCGGCATCGCATGGACGCTGTCTTGCGAAAGTGCGGGGCTGGGGCCATTCATTCCCGAGGCGCTGATCTTTTGCGGTGGTGCTTGCGCTTGTGCCAAAACAAAATGATTTCTTTCACTTCAAATGCCACAACGCACTTGCCGAACTTTGCTCTCATCGGGGTCCGGGTCCAGATTCAGATCGTGGTTTGCAGGGCTTGGCATGGCTGCTGTTGCTGCTTAGGCTGTCTCGACTCGCACCGCGAGGTCTATCGGTCTTGTCCTCAGCAAGAGAATCGCTCTGAAGGGGGGGTGGCATTGAAGTCGGTTGGCTTGCCGATGTTCTCCGCTCCGAGGTTGCTTCCAATTCTGCTGTTTTCGTTACCTAGCCTGGGCTCGATTTGCATTTCCCTTTTGCTGGTCTCCGCGGCATCGCCGAGTGGACGCTGTCTTGCGAAAGCTCGGGGTGCTGCTGGGCCGTGGAACTCCCAGCGATGGAGGCTGCCGAGACGACTTCTCTGGGTGGCGGAGATCGGGCATTGCTGCTTCCTTGCGAAGGAGGCCGGCCATTGCAAAACGTCGAGCTGCTGCAGAGAACCTTGTCTGCTCTGCTGCAACAGTCTCTTGTCCAGTCAAACGAAGAGCTTACCGATCTCGTTTACAGGGCTTGCTTCTTTCACAACAAGCTCAAGGGCAGCCTGGCATCGAATCATGAAAGCAATCCTATCACGGCCTCTCAGGAGCCGGGAGGAGTTTATGAGCGCAACTTTCTGGGGGAAGTTCGAGAAGTGTTGAACTGTCTCGTCGAGCATCACGAGCGACTGAGCTTGGATGTGCTGTTCGCCGAGATATGTCGCGCGGACAAGCTTTTGCGAGAAGCCAGAGCTTTTTTGCGCCGCTGGAAGCACGTGCCCTCGATAACGCCGGTGATGGAAGAAAGCGCGGCATGCGTCGCCCATGCGCTGGCTGCAATGGACGATGCTCATTTAGCTCTTTGCGAAGATTCCCTCTGCAATTTTACTCAGAGCATCCACGCCGGACGGCTCGCCGTCCATCGAGGCTGTGGTTATTTGGACTTACTGCTGCGCTGGATACAAGAGGGCGAGCACTGCAGCGGCGATCGACGGAAAAGTTGCAAGCGGCGTCGTGCCTCGAGTTCTGGGCACGACAGCACAGACACGGCGTTGGTTGCACAATACGAGAAGTCGGTGGCCGAGTCGGGCTCGAGACTGCCGCTGCCGCCTTTGCCTCCATGTCTTCCCGAGCCATCGGAGGTGTCCAACCCGCGGCAGCCTAGTCTGCCCGAGGAAGCTTGTCAGGCGGGGCAGGCACAGCTCTTCGAAGAGACGGTTCCACTGCAAGCGAAGAGAAACGCGACTGAGACAGAGCACACGCCAAATGCCGTGCTGCGTGCTCAACAACTCTTGGAAGGGCTCCTGCCTTTTTTGGAACAGCAAGTGGCGGCCGTCGTCGCGGAGGCCCGTAGTCACCTCCTTCAGTGGACTTCCGGAGTCTCGCCAAACAGCGTTATTTCAGTGGACGACACGTGACGATCTATCGAGCTTGAGCCCTCGGATCCAGATACTGTGCCATCCGCATGGAGATGCCTGTCTGAACGAGACATGGCCGCAGCACCGCATGGACGCCGTCTTGCCAAAGTGCGAGGCTGCGGCTACTTCGCTGTCTTGGATCGACCGCAGTTTCGGATGTGCGGCTCAGGACTGTCACGTCGATTTTCAAGGGAGGCCGTTGTGCGACGCAAAATCGCTGTGAACCACTTCTCGCGGTTTCCTCGTCGTGATTCACCTGTGTTGGAAAGGCTTTCCTGGGCACGACGAGCCCTGGGCCAGTGCTCGATTCGTCGAGGCAGGGACGGCCGATGCGGGAGGTGGTGCTGGCAGTTTCGGAATCTTCTTACCCCCATCCCGAAGCCGCCCCTGTGGGTTTCTTTGCAGCTGGCGTTTGGGAAGGGACGTAAGGACTTCAGTTTGTGTCCTTGCTTCAGGTTTCGTTCTGGAAGGAGGCAGAACTCGCAAGATGCGAGATTGAAAGCAAGCGGTACTGCTAGTCCCGAAGCTCTTGTAGGACCAGTAAGCCACGGAATAATTGCAACGTGCAGATGTCTGCTTAGTTTCCTTACCTCTGCCCCCGATATGCGACTTGCTTCCACGACTCATTGTAATAGAGTGCATCCTAATACATTGCGTTGTACGTATCGGCCGATTTGGGCCCGGTGGTGGCGATAACACTACCTGTGCAAAGAAGGCGAGCTTGCATTGAGCACGTGCGTTGCGATCTGTTGTCACGACTTTTGACGAATTATGCTGCTTTGAACGTCTGCTTGAAAATTGTTCAAGAACTACTAAGAGACGGGCATGTACCAGGAGCGCTGCCACGGATTGTGCACATGCGTCACCATCTCCAGCCGAGGGACCGAGATTGTAATGATTGGAGTGACAGTTCATGAATTTTCGCGCGCATTCCTTGGAGCATTGTGCTCATGTAATTGTTCGATTGCGGCTGTTCGATGTCGACTGATCTTACATTTATTCTTGCACGCACGTATTGCGAGGCGCGTTGCGTGTCATCAGGAACATTGGTATGAGTTCTGACAAACTGCCTTTGGACCGACGCGTTATTGAACAAGGACATTGCGTCATGAGACTTCACGGACCTACTCCATTGACTGCGATTTCATTTGCTGATCGTTACTGTATGGATTGCACTTTTGATTCGGGTTTTACCTGCTCTGACATTGCAAGATCGCGGTGTTAGATACTCGGGGTTTTGGTCGTCTCATGCTGGCTTTCAGGGTCCGACGTCCTTTCTCCTCTTCGGCAAACGCTTCTTGGTGGAATCACTTTCGAGGCTTGCAGTCTTCGGCGAGGCTTCGTTGTATTCGCGGTGTTCATTTCGGGCAGACACAGTTCCTGCGGAAGCTTTGGTTTTTTCGTCTTGGGCAAGTGATCCAGGGCCTCGACTTTCAGTCTGCAGACCCCGTTGTTTGCATCGTATGCAGCTAGCAAGCGCATTGCATTTGGCTGAGCTGCTCCCGGCACACTCACAGGTGTTTGTCTGGTATGCCATCTGCGTTTCCCAGCAGGTCGGGGCAGTTGCTTGGAAGGTATGAACTTTGGCTTCGTTGTGCGTGCAGGGCATATTAAAGGCTTCAAGTAGGGTTCCAGGAGGGCTTCATCCGGGCCTTCGGCTCTTGCCGATTCGAGGTTGCGCTTCTTCGTTTCGCACTCATTGCCTAGATTCTGCCTGATCATTTTGGGTGGGTCGTTTCTGTCGGGATTGGGAATCCGGTCCTGGCAGGCATTCAGTGTTCGCCTTTGGTTTGGCTTCTTCGAGGAACTTGGAATGGATATTTGACTCCGCCCGATAGCTGTTGCTATGAACGTTCGGAGCGGGCTTTGAGTGTGGTCCTGTCGGTTATTCTTATGCACTGTTCGCGAAGAGATCCAGTTGGTGTTTCTGCGCTTCGGACGCATTGCATTGATTCTGCTTGATCATTTTGGGCGGGCGGTCTCTGTCGGGATTCGGGATCTGCTCCTGGCAGGCATTCAGCGTTCGCTTTTGGATTGGAGATTTAACGACACCTGCTACGTAGGCGTTGCGTGTTCGGAGTGCGCTTCGAGTGGAACACAGAAGTCGTTCGGCGCGACCCGGTAGGGTACTCCCCGAACCTTACACTTGTATTCACGGCTAGCGCTGCGCCACTTTGAGTATAGTGTGTTTGCTGCAGTTCTTGTGATCTTCTAGGCTTCGGTTCGGTGTACAATAGAGAACGTGAACCACGGGCTCGTCCTCGAAAGTGGCAAGCAGCTTGTGGACATTGGCAATCAGTGGAGCGGCCGTGACAAGAGCTCGGATCACGGAAGTATCCAGCCAGAGTCAAGGTTCGTCCAGGACCAGGCACACGGCAACGTAAGAGGTCGGTTGCCAATTGTTGTTTGCTGGCGGCTGGTCTTTGGGATGATAGCTGCGTTCGGGCAGTCAAAGCCGCCGTGGTGCTTGCCGTGAAGGAAGCGGTCGATGTGCCGACCAGTTCCAGGAACCTCCAGCAAAGTCACTATGTGAGCAGCTTGGCCGCATGCGGTCACTGGTCACACGGTCTCATGTGAGGCTGTGAACTGGGATGAAGACGAGGAAATTTCGACAAGAAGAGATTGCTTGTCGCGAGTCAATGTCCAGGTCGGCTCATCGAGCCCGTGATGGTGCAGATAATTAATCGGCGGCATCTGGCGTAGCTAGAAGGGTCGGTGTTGCGTTTCTGCTTTTGTTGGGTGTGCTTCTTTGTCGGATGAGTCCTGCCCGATGCCTGTATCGGGGTTTAGACGCGGCGAGCAGCGGCGCGGCTCCGCGAGGCGGGCCGTTTGGTTGTGAAATTAGGGGATAGGATATCTCCCGAACTTCTGAATAAGACCCTACATGGATCGCGGAATCCACTTCGGAATGTTGCCAGATGCCGCCTTAGGGCTGATTGGACTAATGCCCTGTGATCCTTGTTATATCATTCCATCTGTGTCTTCTGCTTTAGTTATCCTTCCATGTCAACTGCCCCCCCTAAACCTCTCGCAGATCTTGTGAGCTGCGAGAAGACGATTGTCGGGAATGAGGCTGGACGAAGACAGATCGGGTTTGGGCAGGGGCAGGCACGTAGTCATCCCCTTCAAGGGATTTCTCGGGTCTCGCCGGGGGAGGGGGGGGGGGGGCTGCATTTAAGCCGTTTTCAATTTCGCTCGCTGTGTTGTTTCTCAGCTGGGCTCGATTTACGTTGTGTTTGTTTGCCGCCGTGACGCCGCTGAGTGGACGTTGTCTTGCGAAAGCTGGGCGCGTCAGGCGAGACTGTAAGATATTCCGAAGCATGGACTCAA